AATCAAAAATGTCTGATCAGAGATTTTAAAACAGGGTTCTGCCTACATGTGCAGCATTCGCGCATATGCTGTGTTTTTGTAGGCTGACAAGGAAACAACAGATAACCTGCATTGTTTTTTTTTTTTCCTGTTATCACATGTTGAGTTGTCATCTAATTACTGTTAGCACAAATTGTGAGAAATTGAGTTTCATGTTTGAGTTATGAAAGGGACTAAAAGCTGTACTTCAAGCAAGGTTATGGCTAACTGTGCTTTCGCACATCAGTGGTGAAAAATACTGTGAAAAAATAAGTGCTACTCTAGCTCAAGTAACAGGCAAAACTGCTTTAGGTCTCTTTTAAATGCTGTTAGAGGAGAAATTAAAGCACTTATTTTAATAGGTAAGATAAAAGTGTAAAAGAAGTTACCTTGCTGTGGCAGGCAGAATTATTGTTTTGCCATTTTAACTATGTCCCTTTAACCAGCCATATATATATATGTATCTTATCATATGAAAAATGACATCTTAAGGGACATTTTCAAAAGCACCTGAGAAGTCTATAAGCTGCAACCTATTACACCTTTCTGTCACATTTCTGTCTTCAGCCTTGTCAGCTGTAAGAGTTGGAAATTTGCATCTGAGGATGACTACCCTATCGAGCATTTCAGATGTGGTTGAGTATATGTGTGATTCTGCACTGTGGGTTGCTTGCTATTAGGACATCAAAGAGGAGCTGCTGACTGTGACGGGTGGTGGTTTTCAAGTTGCCTCTTCAGGTGATCATAAGTGGAAGATGATGTTGCTGGTTGCATTGAAAGATATTTTTGCCATTTGTCTCCTTTAAAATGTCTGCAGCCCAGATCCACTTGGATTGTGATGTCTTTTGATCTCAGGAGCTGAATAAAACCAGGCCAAGTAATCCCTGGGAACTTCTGCAGCCAGAATTGCTGGAAAGCACGGTAATTCAGCACATATAATGCTTTCCTCTGAATCAGCACCGTACCTGATATGGTTTCAATGAGTTGCTTGGCCGTTGTTCGCTCCTCCTGCTTTAATAGCCCTGAGCCAGGGCTCCAAAGATGTTCAGAAATCAAAGTTTGATTTCTACAGGTATTTAAATGTTTGTGCCATAATGGGGGGAGTTGTCCTCAGCATTTTGGCCAAACAAAACTTCAAAGGGTATGGCATTTCATGGGTGTGGGCAATGAAGCAAGACGTTTTGTTTCCTTATTTAGGTTATAGAAAAGAGGATCAAGCCCCTTCCAGGAAAATGGAAGTAGGTAGCCCTCGGTGCCATCGTTTTTGTTTGCTAATGCAGGCTCTACTATCTAAGTGTTCCCACATTTAATACCATGGAACAGGCCCACCAGGATTGCCCTGCTGTGAGAGACTACGGTGCCTCAACCCAATTTCCAGTTGGCATGTAACATCCTGACACTGATGCGGGAAGGGACCAGTCCGTAGGCCCTCATCTTTGTGAAATGGGATGTGTGCAAAGCCCTGCAGCTCATCTTCCTCAGAGCTCAGGCCTGATTCTACAGCTCCTGTGATCACATCACCTGGGTTGACCTGGTATCAAATAAGCAGCAGTGTAACAGTGAATGAGATCTCATGTTCATTCATGTCACCAAAATGGCCTAAACCATTAAAAAGTTGTGCTCTGCGTTGTTCTGGACAACTTACAGGCACTCCAGGTTTTAAGGACTAGCTCAGAAAACTTAAAATTTTTTTTGTAGTGTACCATTAGTTTTTACTTTGAGGAAGGGGAGAGATAGAAAACGTATACTTGGTTATTTTGCTTGACCTACAAAGAATTATGGTGCTATACCATGTTTACACAAAGGTTGCTCCAGTATGCAAAAGTAACCCACAGAATCCAGGTTGCTTATTGTAGTGGTCAAGTTAAATTGAAGGGAAGGAATTTCTCAAAAATATTAGACTAATGCCTTGTGATCTAAACTGTAATGACTTTATTTTCTGAAAACGATAATTTCCCCCTTCCTACAGAGAACAGAATTTCACCTTGGAAAAGAGCAATGGAAAAACATGCTTTAGTTTGCTTATAAAAATGTAAATGGTCTGCTTCTCTTTTTAGAAGTAGCTATCTCTAGTTATAAAATTGTAAAAGAAAGATAGTATTGACAACTTCAAGAGGAAGAGAAAGTTTGTATTTCCACAACTGTTTGGGTTTGGTAACCATACCTCCATTTCCCAAACCTGGTAATTAGTTGATCAATATGTAAGTAAATATAATGAGATGGTCTATAGGAAAGATTAAAGAAATAAGGTAAATTCATTTGTATCACGCTTTGGCCTCCTTTAGGAAAGAAGTGCAAGATAATTAAGTCTCAGCTTTTCTTCAGGTGTTGCATCCAGAGATTGCTTGAGTGTGAACCGAATAGATTAGTTTTAAACAATCTTTTTAATTGTCAGTGTCCCTTGACTTTGATATTTTGCAGGCTATATGGTATAAAACAGTATAAAAGTATATCAACAAGTGGATAAAACACTCCTCTGGCTCAAATCCTGCCTAGTCATTAGTGTTCACTCATTCATAGTCTTTAATTTCATAGATGTGTCATTATTATTTCCTTTTAGGAGAGAATTCAGGTTTTGATAGCTTTGAGGGCACACATACAGACTTTATGCATGGAAAATGTCATTGCAATTAGGAAATAAATGGTGTAAAATATATTCATTAATTTTGTTTCGCTGAGGAATTCTTGAAGAGATGTGGCATAATGGACATATTTTTATTTTATTTTTTTGGTACTGTGCTTTGGACTACAGAATAAAACCAGCCCATGAAAGAAAAACATGTCCTTGGTCAGGTATATGTGTGCGCATGTATGTTTTGGCTCTGCCTCAAAAAATGTGTGCCTAACTTCAAGTAGGTGAGTAATCTTGTTTGGTTGGTGAGGAGCATGCTTAAGTACCTTGTGAATGTGAGCACTTCAGAATGACTTGATGTTAAGGTATCACAGGAAACAAGGCTAAGTGAAAGCCTTAGAATGGAAATGAGATGTTCTTCTGATTAAGACTAGTGTCCACCTTTGGAGCTTTATCTCTGAAATACCTCAGCAGTCAGGAAGTTACAGAATTTAATGCTGTTTAACTCTACTATATTGCACCTTTGAATTTTTATTTTCCTCATCATATGTAAATGATAGTGTATTTCTTTTTTTTCATGGCTACAGTAAGTTATGTAGGGTGAGCAGTGTAAAAGCTAAATTCCTACTTGAAAGAATTGGATCACCTCATGTAGCTACATGAGTCCTGAATGGCATGTTAGTCATTGGATTTCATTAATGACTGGAAGCAGTTTTGCATTTTATTGATGTAAGGATAGATCTAGATTTTTCTCTGGATGAGAACATTCAACTGCTCTTGGCTTTAATGGGAGTTTTATTGAGGCTGAGATAGTCCAGAAACCTGGACCTCTGCAATGCTTATGGGGAATCTGTATTCCTTTCACCAGATCTCCTGGATTTGGCAAACCTCAGAAAAAGTGGATGTCTTCAGCACTTACTGTGATGCAGTCTTAGAAAGGTCCAGAGTAGAGTTTCCTGTAGGAACTGCCACCTCAGCTGGACCCAGCTGCGATTTTCCATCTTGGTAGTTCTTGGGCCAACAAAGGTGTTTCTTGTTTTTGTAAAACAGCAGGGTACAAGTTGTGTTTAGCCATATGGTAGAGCACAGTACTGTATGTGTTGTGGAGACTTTGACTCCTCCATCATCCCATCACATGCTGTCTTCATAAGATCTCATTTGGCAGGCAGTATAAAATTAAAACAAACCCCTGAAAATTCCCTAAGATAAGCAAACCACCCCACCCCGCTTAGGGATTTAGAAGAAATGGTGCGAAAATGCAGTGTCATTTGCAAAAGCATGATATATTTTCCCAGAGCTTTGTCAAACCTCCTGCTAAAGCCAGTTAGCCTAATGACTACTCTTAAACACATCTGCTGATTGTGTGGAATAGGTGGAGAACAGGGAAGGTAAACTGTGTATTTTTCTAATTAAAGGCTGATTGTGAAGCCAGCTCATTTTTGAGAGATGTTTCTTCACCTGGTTTAACAGATAAATAAAATTTCTCTGGACCTTGTGATACCAGCCTTTTGTCTTTTGAGTATATAGACATTTGGAAGTTTTTTCTTTTCACTGCCTCTGTAGATGAAAGGGGATGGGAGCCACCAGAGCCCCTGAGAAGATTCCCAGTTGGCTTATGTTACTCCAAGTGGGATATCTGAGTCTATTCTCCCAGGAACCCCCTCCTGTTCTTCTGCTGAGGCATCACTCAGAGGCATTTTCCAGTCTCACCACATGCTGCCAAAGCTGTTATCATTTATGCTGGCTATTACTAGGAGGTGGCTGTTCTATCACTGTAACAGTCAAAGTGGCTAAGCACATGTAAAGGCAGACAGACAACCTGTCACCGAAAACCATATAAATGCACTCCAGCAGCTATGCAGAAATAGCCAAATGTTTTTGCATCTTTGACTGGAGGCAGCCAGCAATCAAGGAACCGTGCTGGTCTACAGCCAAAACAAATAGGGAATTCCCTCAGATATTTTTTGTGAAGTGAATCATGGGGGCATAATCAGGTTTGGCTCCATATTAATCAGTGCAGTTTGGCTATTAAAATTCTCAGTTCTGTGGCTGATGTTTCCCAGGCTGTTCTCAGGATTGCATTACACTCTGATTGGGTTACAGTCATAGCAGCAGGATCAGGTGAATGGAGCATTTTTCCCTGCAAGTGGAAGCAACTCTTTTCCCTTAATGGGACTTCAGATGCAGAGTGCAGTCTGCCCTTTCTCGCTTGGGATTTTCTTCTTTCTCACGGAGGAGTCACTGGAAAAAGAAAAGGAGCTGCAAGTCAGCTTAGTCAGTGGTGCAATAGTACCTAGCAACTGCAGCAAGGATCGAGAGCTGGTCTGCTTTCTAGATCATCCTTACTGTAAAGTTCTTCTGCCTTTGGTGCCCTCTTCATTCCCACCCATAAACACTTCTGTCTTTCCAGTGCTTGTGATAACTGGTTGCTCAAAGAATCCCTTGGGAGCTGAAGAGGCACCATCTTCCAGGCTCAGGGGCATCATAACTGGTGAGATATGCTATTAATGCTTTTATATATATATATATCTTTTTTCCTGGAGGTATTTCTGTTCAGTTGAGACAATTGCTATGATGAGCAGCACTTTAGTGTTAGCTTAGTTTCAGACTCAAGGTCTGGTGTGGAAGGAGGCCATTCTGGGTGGTTAGTATTCAGCTTAATTTAACACATTGGGAAGATACTTTATGGTAGTCCTTGATTGAACGGACTGTCAGAAATTGCTTGGGTATTTGGGAGTCTTCCACCTTGATGTTTCCTTTTGTTAGTGTTTTGTGTGCTAAGGATTATGAGTAAGCATGGTAATCTAGCTCTCCAAAACACTGGAGAAATTCTTCCACATTGTGGCTCCCATGGTCCCTGGGCATTACCTGAATGGGAAGGGACCATTTCTTCCCTTGAGAAGGCCTAACTCTTATTTATCTTTGTCATTAAACCTACATGCGGTTGTCTTTGCACACACGCATCAGTTGTACACACAGGGTACAGACTGAGGTAATTATTTCAGCTCAACAGCCATACTAGTCTTTCTCCTAGTGAAAGATTATGAATATGGAGACTATTATATATCATTAAGATAATAATGTTGCTGAATATGTTAGCGAAGTCAATGACTCTATATTCCCTAGGTGTTCTGTTTTTAGTTTGATAGGGACATGTAAAACAATTCTGCTTGCCAGGTGGGAGGAAATTTGCCTTTCAAAAGATTGTTGCTTCAGCACTTGATAGGAGTCTTGCTAAGCAATGATGATGATAATAAATGTTCCCAGGCTACACTTGTTTTATAATTGCTGTTTAGCACAAATTGCTCCAAGTGAGTCCATCATTCTGACTACACAGGTGGAGGTTATGATGTCATGCGTAGCAAAGTCACTGATCCAAAAGGATGGGACAATTATATAAAATAGTAATACAATATGGAGTTATAGTAGTGAAGACTAAGGAAAACAATTAAAAGGGATTTAAAACTTAGGTCAAGAAGCCAACCTCAATGAGGAGGCGAGGAAGGGACTTGCCTTGAATGGTTACTCTGTTTGTTGAACACCTCTGTGAAATGACTGGCCACTATCAAGGGCTGTGTCTTGGATGAGGGATATCACAGATCTGATCTTGACTCTTCCCATGAGGGTAATGTTTTGTAAGTGTCCCAAGAAGTCATGGTCATATACATGGCAGAACTGATGGCTATTGTGTCTGCATTAACTCATAGTGACCGAATAGCACGTAAAGGCTTGCCTTTGAGTCGTGTTGCCTGTCTCATACCATTTTTCTAGTCCACCTTTTATGATGAGTGGTGTTCATCAGGCAGATCCAAGAGTCCCAAGCAGGGCAGAGTCCTGAGCACATACCGAGTTTGTGTGGTCAGCCATAGCTTGCCTGCTTTTCTGGGCTCTGGCTATCATAGCTTGTGTCAGAAGATGAGGAAAAGGAGAGGCAGGGTGAGCTGAGCTAAAGCCAGGACTAATAGAAACCTAAAAGTGATGGTTCGTTGGACAGTATTGGCTCCCAAACACTTTTTTTTTATTTGTATGTAGAAGTGTAAAGGCTCCAGTTTCAGTCTTTGGGAATAATTAATCCTTAAGCAGTGGAAAACAATGCAACATGCAATTGGTGAGCTGTCCTGACAAAGGCACGTCAGAGTAAAATTATTTTTTTGAGGCTGTTAACTATGCTGACTAACAGAGTTGGTTAATTCTGTAAGGATAATGTTTTGGGCAAATTCCCAGCCTCCAAATGCCTGTAGGCAGACTTGTCCATATTTGTGGTATATTTGAGGTCTAGTGTTCCTCCTTTGGGCCATATATTTTTAAGAGGAAATTTTCATGGAAGGAAACATTGTTTCAGCCTGTTTCACTGTAACAGCCTCCTCTGAAGCACTTTCCAAAAAAATGTTAAGGCCAAAGGTCTTGTTTATTCAGGGCAAAAGATGTAAACCCTCTAATATTTACTCAGTTATAAATAGCGATGGGCAAGGCTCTAAGGATGGATTCCTGGGAGAATGTATCAGGGGTGGTTATTCCCCTAACTGAGCAAAGGCAATGGTTGTCTTTATTGCATACTCTTTGGCACAGGGAACAGCATTATTGTTAAACAGATAGCAAATAATTGTAGTAAACTTGTGAGTTTTTCATTCCTCTGCTCAGGTGCCTCTTATTTCTCTTCAGTACCAACAAGAACAAAAATGTGTCTTATTTCTAATAAGAGATGGCAGTTTGACACTGGGAGAATCTTCATTCTAAATGTTTTCATTCTCCAGCCATGGCAGCAGTGATGCGGATCATATTAGCATTAGGACCATGCAGATGGTAGGAGAAAGTGCAACCTGGTGGGGGAAGCACTTAACTGGCATGCAGGAGGTGCTGCTGTTGAACGACCAGCCGGGCTTGGGCAGGTAACTGCATTTATCCGTGCCTCTCTTCCCCCATCTGTAAACGGAAGGGAAGATTATTACTTTTCTTTGCGAGCTGCTGTTTGAAAAAGTTGTGTTACTTTCAACTGAAAACAAGATCTGATAATATCATTGCTAATAAATAGATGGATGTTAGCTAATTCAATTAACAGATTAGTTTGCCTCCCACAGTGAAATTCAGCCTCTTACAGTGCAGGTCTTGTAAAGCTCAGCATGCAGCTTATGCATTGCCAAAGAGTTAACGTGAAACCCAAGTGACGCATAAGCCTTGCTAAAGAGGCTGAAGGCCAGAGACTTCATAGTGCCTTGACACTTCCAAACAGAGTTACAGCGTTTGAAGTGTGTTTATAGACTCATGGGTCTGCCTGGAATCACGGGGAAGTCCTGGTGCATGTGAGGCATCTGCCTCGTTCATACGCATCACCAGGAAAATAATGCCTAGATGTAAAATTAAAAAAAAAAAAAGAAAATGCACAGCATTAATTTTTAGAAAAGGGCTGCTGTTGCTGGGTTGCTTTCTAATTTTCTAGATCAAGGATGAATGTATGGTAACTAAAATGACTGGAAAATGTCTTTGGTGGTAAATGCATTAGCTAAGACCTCAAATAGCAAAATACAATTAAAAAAAATTACTAAAAAAACACTAAAAAATTAGTATTTTTCAAGTACTGATGTAGTTTTGTGTAGATGTATGTTTTTCTGTTAATACTTCTTGGAGAAGAAAAATCAAAATTGGCCTCTAATAGTTATTAGGTATCATTCCAACATCTTGCAACGTAGCATTTTCTTTTTCTACCTATGTAAGACAGGTATTTAACGTTTTACAAAGTTGTGGCTAAACTTTGTAGGATGCTTTAAAGTTTCGGGAACTTAACAGATATCCCATTGTAACCTGTTGTGTGCTATCCACATCCAGAAAATTACAATTAATACCCGGTACTCAAAAAACCCCCACAATTCACAGGGATTAAATGCCAGAATTGCAGCTTTTTTGGTGGTTGTTGGTACTATCATATATGCTAAAGGCATTCCAACCAAGGGCATGTGGCTGTAATGGAATTTGACGTACAATCAGTTTTAGGGAACAGCCTGTGCCTTGTTAATATAGTCCATAAAAGGCTTCCAAACATCCTGAAACCAGTCCCTTCTGTTTCCAAGTATGCATATGATCTCATAGGAAATGATCTGGGAGAGGCTGGCTAACCCTTTTGCATAATCAAGGTAGCATTGTTCTTTTAATGCTTAGTGACTTGTTTCACTGATATAAGCTCAACGATCCACTTTTCCTCTGTTGCCAAATCCCTGTTATCAGACTTCGCAATGGTTTCAGTGGCATTAGATTAAAGAGTAAGTGAGAGGACTGAAGTGTGACTTAAAGACTGGCCTTGGTAATGTCATTCATTTGCTTTGTAACCCTTTTTTGTCTTAACTATTTTAAAAATCCTAAACCACTTGCTGCCCGGCGAAATTTGAAAGACAGAAATGCAAATACATGACACGAGTGGGCAAGGTTGATTTTGCCGTGAGCTCAGAGGCAGGTAACCAATCTGCACCTTGCCAAGTTTCATAAATGGCAGCAGTAGCAAAACAGATAGATAGTGGAGAAAATACCTGCCCTGCATATAGATTTGATATTGTAAAACCTTTCGTATGTACATTAGCAGTAGATACAGAAAGTGTGTTCTTGTATTGGAGCCCTTTAAGACCTCCACTTTCTGGCATGTTTACACAAATGCAGACTGCCTCGTACAGTGCATGTTCTTTTATATCCTCGGGATACCCAGGATTTCCTTAATATATCTAGCCCAAGAAGGGAAACACTCCAATGATCTTCTATCTCTGAAAGCCTTGTACGGCAGCTAGTGTTAATCTTCACTGGCAAGGGAGAGAGAACAAAAGTATCTGGGTTTTGTAACTGTGCAGAAGTACAATTATGGTCTAGTTCATGTGAAAAGGTAGTAACTGCACCGAACTGAAATTACAGTGAGGCTAAGCAGAGGGCTCTGTGGCACTCTGCTTACTGCAGAGTTGTTAAGTTTGGCACTCTGCTCTGGGCTCCAGTCAAACATTTTCTTAACCATATTAGGTTATATGGAAATTGGCCAACCAGCAATAGGCTTTTGATGTAGGCTTTTGTTTGTGCTCATATCTTATGGAGTAGACAGCCACTGCTTTTCTTAAGAACTAGCAGGTTTAATAAAATAAGACAAATAGAACCCTTTAAAAACTGTCATTAAAGTTTGGTAGCAAAAAAAGAGCATTTCCCAAGACAAAGGAACCCAAAGTTGACACTGTTATAACGCAAGTTTGTGGTTCCCTTGTGCTTTACATCCATAGATCTTGATCACTCTGTAAATCAGATCCCAGTAAAAGCCCAGTAGTTAAATATTATGCTGTTCTTCAAGTGAAAGACAAGAGTGCAGTGAACCTGACTGGCTAAGGCACAAGCATACCCGTTCCCTTTGGCAGACTCATTCAAGGCACAGTAGCTCCCAGCAGAGGGGTAGGGTGAACAAGTGGGTTGGTGACTCTCTGAACTGTTGTTACAAGGTTTGCTTGAGTTTGGCAGATGGAGCCTTTTGTG